TTGAACTCCTTAAGACACGCTTCCTGCAAACCTTACTTAGCAAGTATGTCATTCTAAGAGCGAGTTCCATTTGAACGCATTGCTTTGTCATATTTTCCAAGATAACAGAATCAGGGAGCAGTCTAAAGGAAATGTTAGGCTGGAAGGGTGTATGGTGTTGTACCTGCTTCACTCCTACACGCAAATACAGTAGATATCATCAAGGATATCTAGAGCATTACTATGAAAAATCTGCAATGAAGGCAGTCCTGTTTTCCTCGTAAATAAGTTGTTACCATAATTTTTTTTTTTTTTTTTACTGTCTAAACTTTGGGTTTTCAATCCTTATACCTTAAACTTTCTGAATACAAATGAGAACTTTTACTTGAATTACTATGGAAAAATTCTTGTCTCATGTACAGCACTCTTTTCCATATTTCAGAGTCATCAGCTCCTCCACTGTTCACTCTTTTCTCATGTGGTTGTTTTTTTCATATTTTCTATCATTGGAAAAGGAGAAGACTTTTTTCATACTTTCTATCATGGAGAAGAGCAGGTATCTGAAAGCTGGCAGTGTTCAGTGCAAAATATTATGTCCTGAACTGGACACTGTCCTTCACTGTTCTCATCAGTGACAAGTAAACTAGAGTAATTGTATGGATTTTTTTCGATTTGCTTTTGGCTCATCCCAAAGTGGAACTTGGCCTTTTAAAAATAGCTTTGTGTTACAGACTCACAGTCACTGTATGATCTGTAGTAATCCCTGTATCCCTTTCTGCAGCAAATGATATACAAGTTATTTGTTACTTGTGCATCTGATTTCTCCAGCTGGAGAGCAGTACACTGTAGCATTTGTTGAATTTGATTTTCTTTTCATGGCAGTTCTTCTTGATTGAGATCATTATGCCTTTTAAGATTTTCCTATAAAGAATAAAAATAGATGACTGCCTCGTGCCTGTTGACAGGGAAAGAGAGCTCACCAGTGTAGTTTGGATCCATGGATTGGCTTGTCCTCAGCTCATCCCGTGCCTAAGATTTTTAACTCAGTTGACGTAGTAGTTTGTCTTTATATAGCTTCTCAGGGAGCGTGCTTAGAAATGTAGTGCGTGACACCAAGCAGCAGTCAGCCAGTATGTGCTTCAGTATTGCCCAGTGTACGTTAAGCGAAGCAGGAAGGAAACATCTTTCTCCTGACACATTATCCAACTTGGCCAGTCATGACACCTGTTGTTTGTGGCTCTTGCACTAGACAGTGATGTCACAGTTTGGAATCAAAAGAGTTTTGGTCATGGTTTCTAGATAAGTGTATCTGTGCAGCTCTTCAGATTGCTGGTGCCTGGGAAGCTTTGTCACTACCTGCTTTTATGCTGTGCTTGTATATCCCAGGTGGGCTTGGGAAGACACAGGGTTCACAGTGACATCCTTCCAGGTCAAAGTTGTTCATGTGTATTTCTGCTGTGTTTTTACAGTCTCTTTTTGACCCTGCTTAGGTAACAGCTTAATGTGAGTTAAAGCCTGTTTGGAAATAAGCTGCTTTTGTGACTCTTCCGTTTACTTGCATAGTTCCTCCCAGACTGAACTTAGACAGGATCATTAGTTTGTCTTCATAACTGCATCTCTGAAATGGCATAATGCTTCAGCATTACGTCTCCCTGAATGCTGCTGCTTCCTTGCAGCATGGTATCCTATTTTCACACAAAGGCTCACAGGTCAGTCAGAAAGAGTGTTACTGGAATGGAGACCTTTGTAACCCCAGCTTTCTTAGAAACCTGTCAGTGAAAAGAAAAGTAGTCATATGGGTGTGTATATATGAAAATTTAATTGTCTTAAAGACCGAGTAGGGTAAAATCACAGTTTCAGAAGTTAAACTTTATGAAGTATAAGCGCTGAGTTAGTGATACTGTATGCCTTGCATACTTCGGAGAATATTTCAGCTATTGCGAACAGTGGTACTTGAAAAATGCCTGGAACAAAGGATATCAGGAACACAAGATTAGTATTATTAACAGAGCAGCACTGCAAAAATAAACTTTACCTTTTTAGGTAATTTCTAGGTATGTATGTATTTTATTTCCAAATACATTACTTTGCTTTTATAGTAAGGAAGAAAAAAGTATGCAAGGAAAATGGGCACCCTTAAGGTTGCCAAGTGGCTTAAGGCTGATGCTTTAGTCTTGCAGAAACCATGAGCAAACCCCTGGCTCTAATTAAAGAATGTTACCATTCCAGCATAGCACGCTGGAGACTGAGTCCTTCCCAGTACTCACGCTGCAGCAACCCCACCAGCTTGTTCCACTGGGAAAATTGAAAGCAGAATGCACCCAAAGCACCACAAATAATTCAGTGTTATACTGGATTAGTTTTAGTAAGCTAATAAACAAGACATGGCAATTCCAGAGTTTTGTCATCCTGCTTTTGCAATTACCTCCCAGATAGTCTTTTACTGTCTCATCTGAATACAGTATATGCAGGCAGGAACATTAGACAGAAATGTAATTAACACATTTTTCTCTCTTTTCTTTTTTGTTAATCTATGAGATAACCCACAATATTGATTATTAACAGCCTCATCTACACTGCAGAGTGGCTTCAGCAGTTCTGCAAATTGCTACATTTTAAGCTGTTAATTATGCAGAGTAATTCACTGAAATGAGCGTGACTTGGCTCTGTTCACAGAAGAATAAATTGTAAGAATTGGATCTCTGTTAGATTTGAATTTTTGCTTCACAAGGAACATGAACATTCCACACAATAGGCTTGGCAAGTATAGATAATTTACTCTAATAAATAATCAGAATATTTTCAGTGTAAAATGGCATACATGGCAGGAAGCCTGAGGATGTTGGGGTTCTGCGCAGTTCTGGGCTCATTAGAAAAGAGTGCTTTTTATCATTTTGTCTTACTGACAAACATTTTAAATCTGAGTATCTCATAAATCATAACAAATGGAGATTTTCTTTCTTCCCTGCCTTCACCAGCTACGCTTGTATGTGCCTAAAACAACTTGCCAACGTTTTAGACTTACTGTTTGCCTGTTGAAGATGGAAAAGGCAGGATTTCCAACACGTGCTGCTAATCTAACATCAAGGCAAACGACAACCAAGGCCAAGGGGCGAGCTTCTTTGGTTTAAGGCTCTGTAAATGCATGCTTTTATGTAAATGTAGATGCAGTGTAACACACAAGCTACTTTTAACTAAGGTTTCTGCATATGCATTAAAGAATTTACAAGCTGCTATCACTACTTCTGAATCAGAACTGTGGATAGTTACACTATTTCCTCGTAGATTATGTAGGCAGATAAACCATAGAAGGAAAAGCTCCATAAATTGGAATATTTTTAAATATCCTAGAAATGCTTTATTATGAGGAGTTAGATATATAGCTAAATATATGAGGTAAATATGTAACTGTGCCTTTGTAGATACTGCAGAGTTGTAGCAATGTGATCTGAAACCAGTTGGAAGGCATTGAAATAAGTATTAATTGTCCAGTGTGTCACAGTGATGAAAACTAAAATGTCATTGTATTTCATTTTCTTCTAAAAGTTTTAATAGGGGGATTAAAAAAAAAAAAAGGATAAGAACTTTGGAACTTTAACCATTATTCTTTAAACTTATAGAGATTACTATCTCAAACAAAGTTATAATCCAGAGAACAAAGAGAACATGATAGATTAAAAATACTAGTATAACCAGTGTTATATTCCTGCAACTTTTTGGAATCATTTAAACATCTTGCAATCAGGTTCATCGTGTTTAAAGTTTTGGAGTTTTTACAAGGAATAAAGCAATACTTGAGGTAAAAACAGAATCGCTCAAGCTAATGTGTAGCATTTGGTTTGTTATCGACAAGATATATTAAAATTGAAACAACAAATTACCAAAGCCATCTTTTGCATGGGATTATTAAATTTGCAGTTTGTTTGCTAATTTGTTAGTAGGCTTTAGTTGTTTGAGAAAGCTCATACAAACTCGTTTTGTAAGACAGATTATTAGATGAAATGCCCTCTGTCATTGCCACAGGAGGAATAGCTTTGAATCAGGGTTGTGTCACAAATGGAATTAGCTGACTGATCTCAGTTCAGTACCATTTACCTAACAGAATTATGAAGATTATGCTGACATAATGAATAGGTTCTGCTCAAACAAATGTAGTTCACTGGAGATCATTGAAATACAGTGTGGGGCTGTTCCTTTGATTGACTAATGAAGAGCTTGGACTCTAGTAAAGTCAGTCCTCATGCTTCTATCAGAATGATGTTATTTTTATAGTTTGGTAAATTTCAGTCTAGTGGCACAGATGGAATTGTAGAGCTGTTTATACTTGCTGGTTCTGGCATTTCCCCTTAAATTATGCTTCATAAACAGATGTATTTTGGTAACTTCTAGTGAAATCTATATTAACTAGAATAGCATGGTAGGTAGAAACAGTACAGAACTGAATCCTTTCTTCCGTCTTACAAATAATATTATGTTTCATATGGAAGTCCAAAAACCAAACTATATCATTCGTTCTGAATATTCCCTTCCACTTTTTTTTTTTCTTTTTTATTCTTAAGTAAATTAGACATATGTCATTTACTTTCCTCCTTCTAAAAAATATAACAAAAATTGTTTCAATCTTTCTCAACTACAGTCAAGGAACCATGTAGCAGTACGAGTCAAAGATAATATTGACAACACTTCTGTTACCAGATTTTTAAAACATCACTTGCTTATTGAAAAGCAGTAACAAAATGAAATAGGTTAAATATCCCCTACCTTAAATTTCTATTTAACCACATTGTTCTCAAAGCACCATGAGAATCAAGAATGTTTTTCTACAAGTCTTTATGGATGTTCACTGGCACTGTGATTTAGCTTTCATAGCTCTTTCTTTTGGTATCTAAGAAATAATTCTCCTTGTGTGGTCAACAGCGTACTTGTAGCACTGCATGTAGAACATACAAGAGTCTTAAAATATTTTTCCTGTTAATAAAGAGTTGTCATTTAGTATTTATCTTACATGTTCATTCTTTTAGGGTGAAAAAGGAGAAAAAGGAGAGCCAGGACCAGAAGGCATTCGTGGAAGAGAGGTAAACTGAAGATAATAAAACATTGAAGTTGCAGACTTTTGGGGGAATAGTCAAGCAATGAATTTCAGAATTTATGCCAGATTGATGGATTTAGAAAATATATGTGCTTGGAAATATGGGCAAGAAACAGAAGTGTGTTCAGATGAGGTATGAGTTCTTAGTTCTTAATTTTGGATAAGAGAGCTGCAGATAAGGATATGGTACCCTCCATGATAAAGCAACACAGCAGAGATGAAAAAAGGGTGTTTCTGGAGGCAAGCTAGGCCTGGAGCCTTAATTTCTGAAAAGGAAGTGCACAGGCTGTTAAACATTCATGGATAAGAGCCATGGGTCATTCGTTGTTCCATGTGGCTCATGTAATAAAGAGTTTGAGTTAAATTTTCATTTATTTTCTCTGGTAGATTTCACTGCCTAATTAATTAATTGATCTGGTCCATATTTGAGCTGTAGTATGAATCTAAGTTAAAAATAGTACTGATCATAGGGTTCACATCAATGTTTGAACCTGAGCTAACACTAACACTATAGACTTGATCAGTGTTAACAGTCACTTCTGCCTGATTTAATTTTTTATTTATCTTCAAATGTATTAAACTAAGACAAGAGGGCAGAAATTCAGAGTTTTGTCAATGTGATAAATAAAATGGCAAAGCAGTATCATTTGGACATAAACATTTAAAAACAAAAAGAAAGCTGTCAGGTTTTTTTTAATCTCCCTTGTCCCCTCCTGTCTCCTCCTTGACCTAGCTGGAAGTCAGCCTGGGTTTAAGCTTTGATACTAAAGCATATTGTTGCTCTCCAATTGCAAAACATCACAGCTGAAGGCAGAAAGTATCTCACAGAGGGACCGAGCCTGACTGTCTAAATCTTTGAGGAATAGTTCACATTATCACTGGAATTCTAGACAAAAAATGAGATGGGGGATTTGGAAAACAAATTTCAGCAAGCCTTTTCCGCCAGCATTGCCAAAAGAGTGGATGTTTCAGCTTTTGACACCTAAATGCTATGACAGTCTTGCTGGACTTGCTAAGAGCACAGGCAATGCGTATTATTATTTGCATTGAGCTACAGATACAGTTTTTAAGACCATCTACAAGACTTTGACACTTCTATTGTCATGTGATTTTTTATGTACACTGTAGTAATAAAAAATATTTATTTCTAGTTTAGGTTACTATAATTTAATGCTTGTTAAATCAGGCTATTTTTGGCTACTGGTAGATATCCTCTGCGTGGAAACATATACTATGTGCTGAGCTGAAACTGTGTTTAGTTATTCAAAGAGGTATTCTCTTGTAGCCTGCTTGTCTGTGAAGGTGAACCATATATTTCTGTCATGCATATTTGCTGACAGCATGGAAAAACACATCTGTGTTTCTTTCCATAGCTGTGGAGACTTTTCTCTGTTGGTCTTACATGATCTCCTTTACTACATGGGATCCTGTTCCACAAATTTTTTAGGATGAGTAAGGTATACCACGTATCTGGTGAACTCTAGAACATATTTGAAATTGTGGCACTGAAAGTGTAAAATACTAAACCTTTATAAATCAGAATATTTAGTGAACTGTTCTAATGTGTCAAAAAAAAAAAAGCCCGGTGGATTATCATCATGGGATCTGGCTTTAAAATGTTTCTGAAATGGAATTGCCAATAGGCAATATAAGACTTTATTGCTCGAATCACACATGATTCCTTTTTAACAATACGTAAAAAAAACATGCTTTGGATTCAGCTATTAGAGTGCATGGAGATGCCAGTCAGTAAGTTTAAATGCAAAGTACTGTGTGTCACTGACTCTTGGTTGCTATCAGTATTTCTTGAACTCATTTCATATGCATAAATGTAACATCTGATATTTCCGAAATAATCAAGTTAATCTGCTTACATGGGCATAATTTGCAGTGGTGTAGAAAGAAAGCCTGCAAACACTCAAAGCTAGTGGTGTTGGCTGTTGGCAGCTGTTGTCTCTGCCTGGGGGGAAAACGGTTTCTGCGCTCACAGATGAAGAACAGGAAAAATGATGACTGAACATTTCGGTAGAAATAAATCTGAATTTATTTTGATCAAAATCAGGAAACAGAGGCGTCAGAAGCAAATTCCTTTTCCTTTTTTTTCTCTCCTGTTACTGCTTTTGTTTTCTTAACTGCAGAAAAGGTTTTGGCTAGAATGAAGTCGAATAACAGGGGAAATCAAAACTGATTTGGAGATTAGCTTTGTACAATGTTGATGGGTTATCCAGAACGATGAAGTCTCTCATCCCTTGCAGATTGTGCTAACTGGGTCAGTCAGAATCTCATTCAGAAACAGGTTTGGATGCAGGAACTGTGAGCATATTAACTGCCCTGCACAACCTCCTAGATTATCACTCCACAAATCTGAGCCAAGATGTATCGTGCTATGTCTCCTTCTGAGACTTTAAAAATCCATCTGACAGCACAAATACTCACTATAAATACTAGTAATGTGGTTGCCATTGTTTTTAGCTTCTTAAGAAGCAGCTATAAATAACTTGCACGTTACTAATATAGTCCTCCTGTGGTATGTATTCGCATTACATCTGTAAGCAGACATTTGTCTGTATAATATGAACAGTCAGTTTTCTTGAGTAGTGTCTCTTAAGTTATATTCCTTGACTTTTATAGCCACTTGACATTAATAATGCCGTCATTTTTATTGCAGTAACAAGTGGATGTTCATGGACATACTGTCTGAGAGAAGTCCTATTAAATACAATTACTTATGCATATACAAATATGCATAAGTATAAGTACAAATTATTATACAAATACTTATGCTTATACATATGGAATAAGGACAAATTCTCAATATGAATATCTCTGCTACTACCATGGAATAAGATGAGTGTGATATTCACACTCTTCTGAGTGTGAATTGAAAGTAAGTCTTAGTCATTGAAACTTCTAGACTCCTTTAGGAGTCGTGTAATTTTCTTAATCAGTGGTGCAGGCAAAAATGAATACCATGGGATACTTGAAGTTTTGCTAACATAAATGAAGTACTTTAGCAACAGTAAGTAAGCCCAGGAAGTTTTATCAAATCTCTCAGCATGCGTCATGCGTAGCTGGGGAAAACTGACTCTAATGTAATTTGTTTAAGAAAAAAGAAAGATAGAAAAAGAAATAAATGAAAATCTAGTGTATAATCTCTACATAGTTTAACAAGCTAGTTCATTAAGTATTTTTCTTCTACTGGGAAAGGCGATACTCTAAATTACTGCATAAAAACGTTTTCACATAAAATACTATTTTCTTTTACATACATAAATGTCAAAGGACAGACCTATGAATTTAAGTAAGCAATAAGAAAATCACAAGTTTTCAGTGTAAAGAAGGTGAAATGTACACGTTGGGTCATTTTATTTGCTTTTGTGTAAAAACGAACAGAAATATGAATATTTTCAAAAGAACCTATTCTCTTGATGTGATAGTAACAGTCATTTACCTTCACACTCTCATGGGTTTTCTCTTACTCCCTAATCTTAAACTGTCTTAGCATTGTAAGGAAATAAGGAAATACAAGAGAAGAATCCTACTACTTGAAAGTGTGAAAATGTTAATGTTATTTACTTAAACCTCATATCTGTTGATTCTGTTAGGAGCAGAAGTATGAAGAAACAGTAGATGTAGGATCTAAACATTTGAATAGTGTAGCCATCTGAAGTTTTTGAATGACATCAGCTGGAAAAGACCAATGGCAACATTTAAAAGTACTTGAGGTATAAAATAAAAAAAGGTGTATTCTATTATTTGAAGCTCTGAAAATGCCTCCTAGATTTAAAAAGTTATTCCAACGTACACAGCTTCATGTTATACAGCTGACTCTGAAGCTGTTGCCTGAATTAAAATTTTTGTGGCAAAAATGTGGTTCTGGTGTCTTACTAATTGGAGTATATCCAAATTTTATTTCTCCATAGAAGTTTCTGATTTGATCCATAATAATTTGATTTGACACTCTTTGTTAGTGTGTTGGATTGATTACTATATTTTCAGGACTCTATATATTATGTGGTGTGCTAGGAGATTTTATCCTGATGTGAGATTAAGTGAATTTCATGCAAGCCAGGGACTATGTGCAAGAAAGTCTGAAAACATTTTCTTCATCCAGCAATAAAAATAAAACTGGATAATGCTTCCCAAATAGTTCTCTTGTAGAGTGAAAGATTTATTCTCCTCAAAAGATGATGGCAATATTGAAGAATTTTTCATTGTTTCACGCATGCAGTGCAGTATTTCCTGGACAAATGAGTACATCTCCAGTAGGCTGGATGTGGCTGCTATAGAAGCAGCTTGATTGCTCTCAGACAAGAGCACCTATTGCCAGATGCAAATGCATTTTACCTGTTTCATCTCTTTTCTGTCTTGATGTAGAAGCATTAGCTGTGGAGAGCTCAGAGAACGTTTTCAATGTATGATACAATTTTCTCAGGCCCTTAGTGATCCTGATAAGAGTAAGTCAGAATTCATCAAATAAAGCATTAGGGAACCAAAAGCATGTTTTACTTGGAGAGAACACTTAGTGTAACATTAACAATTCTTCTAACGTTTCTGAACAAAAGAGAGTTTTATTGATAAGTTCATACAAAGTTAACAATTCAGTTATCCTGACTTCTCTGATCAAATTCATGTCTGTTATTATTGTAAACTTTTGTCTCAGGGTGAAAGCTTAATGGATTTCTCAGATATTTCCCAGCTGTGGATAACTAAATAATGGCAGCTGAGAAAAGGCTGTAGGCCCTTGTTATCTAATGCTGCTCGTGAAGTTTGCATTGTTTCTGATAACTAGTAGTGTATCGTCAATGAACTGTTAAACAGAACCCTGGCTCATCACTCCCCTGGTCCCTCTGGTTCTCCAGTCCTTGTGGAAGCTCTTCAGTCCAATTGTCTGCTTCCAGCAGCATAAACCTTAGAAACTCTGGCTTCACTGCGACAGACCCCCAGTAAACTTTCTTCACTTATCCTGACTTTCTTCAGGTTTCC